CTCTGGAAATGTAAGGAAAAAGGTGAGTTTCAAGAATTTGTTGATATCTTTTAGCATTGAAGTTTTCAGTGAACAAAACAAGTGCAATTGGTCCTTGTGCAGTAAATGCACCCCAAGCATGAACTTTATAAGGGTGCTTTACCATACTTCGGTGTGGCCGTGACTCCCCACTATGATATCTTACTAACTGAGTGTTTCGAAACATCTGAAAAGTTGTTTCATCAGAGAAAATAGTGTTGGACCAATTGTTACGGACATGCCTTTGATACCATTCAAGACGAGCTGCGATATGATAAGGCTGTAGAAGAGGAACCCGAAGTGGACGACAAACTTCAAACTTAAGAGTTTTTTTTTTTTAATGTACGCTGAACAGTACGAACGGAAACCTTCAGATTAAGATCTTTTTGTTTCAGTCTCTCAGTCATTTCGGCTGCGGTAGCAGTATTGTTGTTTTGCACTATCAGACCAAGATGACGGCGTTGTTTAACAGTAAGAATTGGAGGTCTTCCAGGTATGGAAAGTGGCGTAATACTAGACCTTTCTTTAAGTCGATTGACTAAATCATACACTGTGGATTTCGGAAAACCTGTTAAACGTATGATTTCAGCAGGTTTCTGAACATTATTTGCCCAAAGCTGGCTTACAACTGTTCTTTGTGCTTCAAACTTTGAACCGGTTGACTTTTTTTTTTTTCCACTAACGGACGCGAAAACAGACTGCAAATAAGTTAGTGGTAACGCGTTTGGTTATGATACACGATACTTTAATCCCAATTTTGTATTGGTTCAAAATTGTTTATGCTACGTGACTTTTTCTGCACCGGATCAAAATTCCGGATATTTATGACGACCACTGTACATGCTCCAACAATTTCTGCGCATCAAAATACCTGTTACCTTTGCCGATTTCGAACAGTTTTCAAAGGACATGATATGTTTGATGAATTGGCAGGTAGAGTATTTTCAATACTTGTCGATAACAATATCAAATAAGTAATAATAATTGGTTTTTTTACAGACGGATGTTTTGTCAACAGCTAGAGCAGTAAATAAAGCAACCACGAGTGTCATGGAAAATAATAACATTTATATAACTTCGGTGGATGATACTCCGCAAAAGAAAAAAAGTAATAAAAATCAACCTTTGCCTAAATCCCCATCTCCCGATTCCTCACCTCCCAGTTCCCCATCTCCTGGTTCCAAATCGTCGGGTCGCGATTTGATGCGTTGGTGCGTATTTCCCGCTAACCGATTATCTATGTAGTACAGTTACACGATTACGCATGGTCCATGAACTTCTACGTGGTGTGATTGGTTAATAATTTTCCGACCGTTAACGGTTTTTTTATTATTCTGATTGGATGGGAAATTAATTATATATATGCTCGTAGTACTGTACATCCCGAAATAGATCTCACATGCCCAAAATAGATTTTCATTCACCAAGTGATGATTAATAGCTATTTTTTATTGATATATATTCCATAATTTAAATCACGTAAATTTTTATACCTTTTTCCTATGTATCAGCTGGTTCGCTTTTTATTTTTTTTTTCTTTGACGCAATTCTATTTCCTTCTGCAAATCTAAAACCTTAATATTAACCGGATCATCTTCTGACCTATCTAAATCAAATACAGTCGTACCTGTCTATTTGCATACCGCATATTTGCATAGGAGCCCCGGTCCCTTAATGGGACTTATTAGCTATTTGCATAACGTAAACGTGCATATGCATCAAAAGTGGCCCTAGCTCTAGTAGGTCCCACCAACGTATACAGTCATCCCTCGTTTATATCCCCACCTTGGGGCGGGGATATTTCTGAAGCGGGGATATAACTGAGTTAAGTAACACAAGCAATGACTTATTACCTAAATTAGTCATTCTAATTCATTTATATTAACCCAAGTCACTGTACTATTTAAAGCGAGTGTTTAAGCACAAAGTCGGACAACTGAGTGAAATTTATATAGATTAAAATAGGGGAAATCCGTCCAGCATCAAAGATGGGTTATATTCGAGGTGGGATACAATAGGGGGGATACAAATGAGGGATGACTGTATTTGCATATGCATATTGTAAAAGGAGAGATCAACCAGATCGATTAAATTTTACTATCCGTAAAAATTTACTAATATCGCATCATTTGCATTAATTCTTTTTCTTGATTATTTCGTTTTTGTAAACAAATTTGATAGCGTTGTTTATTGCTTAATGTAGTGTTCTTCATCGTAAATAATACTGTATTTTACGAGTGCATAATAATAATAAAATTAATTATGTGATAACGTATATTTGCATATTCTGTCTAATCAGTACGACTGTACAACAGTCAGCGATTTTAGGCACGTGATGATAATTTAAAAGTAGATCATAGCGATAGCCTTAACTTAATCTGTTATCGTTATCCAGTTTTAAGTTTCCAAAAATATTATTAAGAAATAAAAAGAAGAAAACTCCAAGTAGGTTTTTTATTGTGTTTCAGAATTGTACTGATTTCGGATTGTTAACAAACCACCCACGGGTGTTACAGGTGTTAAAATGTCGAACAACCAACCTGAAATTAGTAATACCGTTTCTAATACTTTCGTATATGGCTATTTATACTCTTTTTATTATATTCTAATTTCTCGTATTTACGTTTGAAGAGCCCGATCTCGAAAAAAAAGTTGAAAACCTAAGTTTGACGGACTCATCTGACCTCAAGGATGAGAAACAAAGGAACATAGCCTCAGAAACTAAGTTCGAAGCGGATATTGATCTGGAATTCACTTCAAAACTGGTAACAAATAATAAACTTGTCGAAGGCGTCGAAAAATATGCAGAACGATTAGGAATCAAAGAATATACAGAAAATAAAGACATGTGGAAGAAATTTTACGGTATGTAATAAGTCGATTCAACTTGATTGCATTTTTACTAATATACCCTTCGTTTAGACGTCTTTGGCCCAGATTTCGTTTGGCCTCCCACAATGAAACTTGGTGAGCGTCGTGAAGTCCTTGACTATATTATTGATCCCGAATGGGAACCAACCGGGGAGGAACTTGCAAGAAATACAATTGAATATCGTCGCCTACTTGAGTCCGGAACTCTTGATGCATCGCAAGGATCGCACATTTTAATCATAAATGGGAAATTAGATAGTTATGGAAATAAGATATCTCCGGAAGACGACGAAAAACTGGAAAAAAAATATCCAGGGTGTTTATATGCACCTGTTGTTGAACGTACTGCTTTAATACGCAAATTCTTAGCTATGGATGATCAAACAAGAAAAGAGTGGCAGGTTTGTATCATTTACAATTTAATTGATGATAATAAGGTTATTGTCAGATATGGTCGAAGCTTTATGATGATATCTGTCAATGACTTAATATTAAATGACATCTTTGGGGATTTCTTTGCCAAATGTAGTCCCATATTTGCATTCAAAATGTATTAAATTCCAGAGATGAGGTGATAATGGCAAATACTGAACAAAATTTCCGAATGGTAATTGATATCGGCTCCACAATGACAATAATTCCAAATTTTGTAAGACAACAATTGTATAATCCCAAAGATGGTTGGGAGAGACTTTCTTTTTCCCCTGATGGATATGGTGATACAGCGAAACTTACTCAAGCTTCAAGGGAGTGGCTTGGTGTTTGGGTGACGGGACCAATTGGACCAACTGGGTTAGAACAAGAGAATTGTATTCATGGCAAAAAAAGCCCCCTAATGTCGATTGTGGTCTAATTGGCTATGACACTCTTAACAATATCCCACATTATAAATCCTGTAGACAACCCTACGTATTTCTTAAGAACGATATTTTCGACCAAATGCCACAATTACAAAGAACGGAATGAATGTTCTTTTTCTCCAAATTTAATCAGCAAAAAAATTCGAATAAGGGATCTGGAATTTACATGAATACTGATGCAATATTAATATGTTATGTATTCATATTGAAATTAAATAAAATTTCGTGCTCATAGTGTGTATGTGTACATAATGATCATAAAGTATTTAAAGCTTTGAGTTATTCAATGAGACCCGATATTCTCGAAGATATTCTGGAATAACTATATATGGGTCTTCGCAATGCCAAACATATCTTAAAACAATCCAATTTTCTTCGCACAATTCATTCTTGAGTTGATCCCGTGCTTGCTGTTTAATAAAATTATTGGGATCACCTCCATGAAAGAATTCGTGATATTTTTCGTGTTGTATGCCTTGTACTTCGATGGCGAAGCCATATTGCAGATAAAATATATCAAGTTCTAGTCCAGTTGGATATTTTTGTGTCTTTAAGAAATCGGGTCTGCGGATTGGTGAAGGAGCACCGAGATACTTTGTTAAAATCTCATGATAATGACACAGCTTTTCTCTCTTATATTTTGGACAGAATGGACACCATGAGTTGAGCATTTAACATTATCAAAAGTAGCAAACCATCTATGCTTTTTATCACACATCCATAATAAAGCTAAACAATTATTAATATAATATTCAGAAAGACAAGCTCCCTTTCTATTGTAAGCCAATTGTTTGGCATCTTCAAGTGTACAATGCCTATTAGTTGCACAATACGGACACCACGTCTTATTATTTTTCACATTGTTAAAAGATGCGTTCCACTCATGCCCTTCAGAACAACGCCATGACAAAGGTGAAAAACTATTATCATACATTTCGGAAAGGCATTCTCCATTCTTACTAAAAGCAACTTGCTTAGCATCTTCAATTGTATGACTGACCTTGTTTGCGCAATATGGACACCTGATATTATGAAGAGATGTAGTCCATTCATGACCATTTGCAGATTGCCATTGCATTGGGGTATTAGCATTAATGTATTCAGCAGAAATACATGTTCCATTTCTACTACGAGCTAATTGTCTTGCATTCTCAATTGTAAGAGGTCTATTACCTGCGCAATATAGGCACCATGTCTTACCATTTTTTATATCATTAAAACTCGCCATCCAGTCATGTTTTCTAGTACAACGCCATAACAAAGGTGAACGATTATTAATATATCTAGTTGAAAGACAAAGTCCACCACGTTCTTTAGCAATCATACATGCATCACTTAATGATAGCTTTTTCATTGTTTTTTAGCTGTAGTTGAATCTCTTTTTGTAAATCTAATGGAGTATCGAATCTTAATCTAATTGCAAGTGGATCATCTTCTGGCCTGTCTAAGCCAAACACAATGAATAAAGCCCACTATTATATTACTTCTTGCAAACTTTTCGTCGTACATATCAAAATTTACTCACAGTGCAACTTTTTGACATACTCTTTATAATGTTTATATGTGTATTTTTAATATTGTTTGATTTATCCAAGTAGCTAGCGTTAGTCTTGGAAGACAGGAAACATATTAATACTAAGAGAAGATGGGAACGAACGATTATTTTATTAACATATTATACAGTATGCATACTAATACATACAGTGTATTACGAAAAAAATTGCCCTCAAAAAAAAATTGCATAATAATAACTCAACAGCGACACAAGATATTTAACAATTCCAGATGTTTTAGAAAGTTTATAATGTACTTTATTATTAATAAAAATTTTAATATGAAATCCTAACCCAGTTCTTTTCTAAAACAAGCTCGCATCTTTTTTTTTTATTGATAAAACTAAATTGTTCACCGTTTCAACTGAAATTGCATCCCATTCTTCAATCATAAACCTCTTCAATTCATTAATCTCTTTTAGCATTCGTTTTTCAACATTATTCTTGATTATTTACCACACGTTTCTATGGGATTAAGGTCTGGGCTATTGGATGACCAATCAATAACCCGAATCCCATTCTCGATAATGTCAGTGAAGCAAAATAGGGGCGTTTCCCCCTTTTTTGAAATGCCATCACTTTCTGGCGCAATCTGGGTTTGCGTCGGATGGGCTTTGCTCCACTCTTATGCCACCGATGGACCTTATTCCAAAAGCCGTTTCATCAGTGAAGATAGTACGGTTCCGATTATCACGTAAATGTGCCTCCGCCCACGCCTTCTGTCTTTCAATGTGCTGCTCGGTGAGCATTGGCGTTCCAAAGGAGCTTTCATATCCCTTTTTTCATGTGACGCCAAACAGAGACATGCGAAGTGGAAATTTGTTGTGTTGTTTGCACCTTTGAAGCCGTGTGTTGTAATGGCAGAGTTTCGGTGCGAATGCAAGAGCACAAGATACCGTTTGTGTAACCTTTGAGGGTGACCGTTTCCCTTCTTGCGTTCGACAGATTCTGTATCTCTTGGTGATTGAACGCCATTAAGCCAATACAGTCAACTGCCGTTAATTCGACCGCCTCCGTTCCGGAGTCATCGGTCGAATTAACGCAAAGTCGAATTAAACG